TTTTTGTGTCAGGGTTCGGTTTTTGAGCTTTTAGGGTTGAGGGTTTGAGGGTTTCAGGCTTTGGGGTTTTGGATGTGGGCGTGAAGAGCCAGAATGAGTGTTCAAGAGTTTCCGGTTTTTGGTTTAGCGTTTAGGGGTTTATGGGTTAGGGATGTTTAGGGTTCAGGGTTACGGGGGTTCAAGTTTGAGGGCACAACTGAAAGGAAAGCCCTAGTTGACATCAAGTGCCCCAGGGCTCACGCACGATCCCCAAAACTGGCTCCCCATGTTTACGATTCAGGGTTCAGGGTTTAGGGTTTAGGGTGTAGGTTTTAGGGTTCCTTCGCTTCCGGGGTGCTGACGCATGAAGCCGAAGCTCTACAGGTCTTATTATTATTATTTCTTGATTTATTTGTTTTATTTTTTGACAAAATATATTATTATCAATTCCATGAAATCACTTTTGTTCTTGAATTTTGGTGTCAAACTGCTTCCATGCTGAGCCTTGCGATATGAAAAGGGCTCCGGGTCATGTGCATTCGTGCAGGGCAGGGTTCACGGTCACCGGCTTAAGGCCTAATGTTTATTGTTACTGTACGGTTCAGGGAAGTAGCTACAAGCAGCTGGTAAGGTTGGAATGTTTTTGCAACCCCACTCTCATGCTGTCCGGTCCTCAAGCGAGCCATGGTGGTGATCCGAAGACCTCCTGCCCAAACCTGCATGCAGTTTCCGAAGTGGGTCGTTCTCTAAACGAGGCTTCTTTTCTAGGTCCCCCCCAACTAGTACGGCACAAAAGGACCTTAAAGAGGCACCCTAGTTTGAAGAACTACTCAAGTGCAGGAGGTTCATGGGTAGTTATAAGTGGGCTTATAAGTGGGGTAACTATAGTTATCACCCATATTAAGGAACTTATAACTCCACTTATAACTACCCATGAACCTCCAAGTAGGCTCAGCTATTTCACCGGCCCTAAAGCCTTCAAAGCTGTCGAAAACTTTGGCCTTGACGACCCTGAGCCCTAAACTTCAAATCCCACCGTAAGCCAACAACCGGCCCCAAGCCCTAAACCCTAAAATCTAACCCTAATCCTTAAACCCTGAACCCTAAAGTATGGCACCTGTACTGAGCTCTAAGCTTTGGGGTTTTTCTGACTAGTGCACATCCAAATCCTGGATGGACCATCGTGCGAGCGAAAGGCCACTGCACTTTAAAAAAAAAAACCCTAACTAACCCTGAAAAAAAATTCCTGAACCCCCAAACCTTAAACCTTAAACCCTAAGCCCCTTGAGCCTACACTTCCTGCCGCAGAGTGTAGAGGCTCCAGGTACCAGAACGCCTGGCTTCAGGTGGGCGAACAGAGCCTAACCTGACCGTAGCGGGTCAAGACGACCAGAACTGCTGCGCCTTTTAGGGTTGAGGGCTGAAAGCTTTTGGGGTTTCGGGTTTAGGGCTAAACACTTCTTAGGGCTTGTTTCGGCTTTCGCTTGCGAGCCCGGCTATGCAAGATAGGGAATTTCAGTGGTGGGTTTTGGTGAGCTTGGACAGCGAAAAGCACAAAGCCCCCCAAACCTGAATCCGTAAAGCGCCAATTCGAGTCAAAGCTCAAGGTCAGAACAGTCGCACACCCATGAATCTAGGCCGTTCCCAAAGCTTGAACCGGACACACCCTCAAGCCCCAAGTTGCCCCGAAGCCCCCTGCATACAAAGCCCAGGCTTCAGCTCACAAGCCCAACCCTAGAAACACCTAATCCCTAAACCCCTAAACCCTAAACCCTAAACCCTAAACCCCTAAACCCTAAACCCTAAACCCCTAAACCCTAAACCCTGGAAACACCCTGGGCTCGTCGCGATGCGAGCGGGTTTCGATCTCCAGCGTGGAAGGCGTTCAGGCTGACGGCAGGCGCTTTAAGGGTTTGGGGTCTTTGGAGGCTTGGTTTTGCGGTTTAAGACTTCCAGGTCTGAAAGTCTAGACTTTAGGGTTTAGGGGTTTGGGCGGTTTAGGGTTTAGGGGTTTAGGGGTTTAGGGTTGAGGGCTTACGGGATTTAAGGGTTTAGAGCTTGAAGTTTGCATCTTGGGCTTTGAACTAAAAGGACCTCATGGGGCCCTGGGCTCTGTGTTCTTTCAGATCTTGATGCATCGTTTTCGGTTACGACCTTGGACCTTTCAATCGCACAATTCAATCGTGTTGTAATTGCTTGTCTATGCGCTTGTCCAATAAACAGCTAAATCACGATGTAACTGTCTCGCTGCATACTAGCAGAATCTCCTTCCTGTGCCAATTTTCTACTAGGATGCTCATCAAGTCACGGTTTCATTGGACGGTTTGGCGTCCTTGTTGGTCAACACCGGTAATGTATTTGGTCCCCATCAGGTTCGAAGTAGAGCATCTTGAAACAAGTATCGTTACAAGAACCGGTCGCACAGAGCACTTCAAAGATGATATGATTTGGCGTAGGGATAGCAAGCTCCGAACATTCCGTAGGGATCTTCTTCAGTTCGCGTCGAAGCGGAGCAGGCATCAGTTGCCATGCAAGATTATGATTTTGTTTTTTTGAGCTAGGTTGTCTTGTTCTACTTCTTTCGACGAAGAGTTGAGAACTTTAGGGCAAGCATTTGAATCAGGATTTAATGGGGGATCCTTAAAGCCATATTCGAACAAGCCGTAGATATTCTCTGTGAATCAGGTGGAGATAGAGCACACATCAAATTAGATCCTGGAACTATGCTGGCTCGAGAACTCGGTTGTAATGATCTGCACATTCAGAGCAGATTTGGATGAAACGACACGACACGTCATCATCATTTCACTGGTGATGTTGGGAGTCATGTCCAACCAAATAGTGACGATCTCTTGAATGATTCAGCTAAAGTACGAGTAAGACTCAAGCTTGTGAACGAGCGAGTCTAGTCCACTTCAGTCAAGGCACGTCTCGCCCAGTCTAGTTTAATCTAGTCTAGTCCGGGCTCATGGTCATTTTCTCCCGATGTAGTTCTTGTCCGACCTTGGGGTGCTCTGCTTGGAGGATCATGGGACTTAGTAAGTAGGGTTATAAGTACCCTAATTGGGGTTATAAGTAATTATAAGTGTAGCTATCTTTCTGATAACCCCAATTACTAAGTCCCATGATCCTTTAAGTAGGAGAAACAGTTTCGTTGGGCTAGAAGGCCCGGCGCTGAGTAGAGCGTCCCGCAACGTTCAAGGGCCAATTAAACCATAAGCTATTGACAACTATTTTTTCACATGTACGTGCGAAAAAACCAGTTTTCAATAAGCTAATCGTGCTGGGCTTAAGGGGTCTAAGACGGCTCGATGTCGCGCATTTCACTCCAGAATTAAGGTTTCTTATCTCGTGGACTCACTGCCTTCCTTGTCAAGGAAGCCGCCAACGTCTTTGAGACCCAAAAATTTAAAATATCTTAAGGTAGGAAGACCATACAAGAAGCATTTTTCAATCCATCCGAAAAAGACCCAGGTGCAGCCGAATGGCTTCCCCTGCGCCATCGGCAGCGGTCGTCCCAACCCTCGTCGATGAAGCCGCTGCCCAAGAGACTGAAGACCCCGGGTCCAGACCTGGTGTTCAGGCTTTTTTGGGTTTAACCTTCGGATTTTAGGGGTTCGGCGTTGCTCTACGTATTGTTTTTAGGGCGACATAAGGGGTTATGTAAGTGTTCTATAATAGTATAGCCTTTTAGGGTTAAGGATTGAGACTCAAGGGGTTTGGGAGAGGGTCCTGGCTCCAAGTCTTTACGGGGCTTTATAGGCGAACCATAACATAAGGTTCTATGATCTACGGTTTGTTGTAAGGCTTGTCTAGGGTTATGTACGGGTGGTACAAGGGTTCGCTATGGGTTCTAGAAGGGTCCAAAAGCTGTTCGTTGAAGGTTTCAGGGTTCTAAAATTTTAGGGCTGAAGGTAAACCCTAAGCCTTAAGACGAGGTGTCAGGGTTCGGGCACTAGGTACCCCAAACCAAGAACTTCCGATTCCTACCAGCCCCCCAAGACAGCCTGAAACCCCTGAGCCCAAACGCCAGCAGAGAGCTCCAGAGTCCTAAGCCCACACACGGCCCAATAAAGCTTCAGAAAAAAGTCCGGACAAAAAGCACTAAACCCCAAACCCTTTGAGCCCTAAACCCTAAGCCCTAGACCCTAAAACCTTAAACCCCTAACCCTAAACCCTTGAACCCGAAACCCTATCAAAACCTGTGAGATCCAGATGCCCTCAGAAGCCCTAAAAGGCCCCCACGCCTCCCAAAGATCTGAAAAAAGCGGGTACGGCATTGGTTGTGTTGGGTGCTTTACAGGTTTCTTTTGAGGCTTCTAGTGGTGTAAGGTGCAGAGTTTAGTGTATAGGGTTTGGGGTAAAGGGTTGCGGGTTTGTTTTGAAGTGGCATTGGCTTTAGCAGCAAAAGGAAACCTAAACGCTAAATAAACCATAAACCCCAAAAGGAGTCCTAAACCCTAAATCCTCATCTGGCCGCCTAAGGCGGTGTGCGGTACACTCGGCTCACATGGTCACAAGATCATATAGGGCCTTAATAGTTAGAATAAGGTTTGGGGTTATCTTATACTATAGTTGTAATGACGAACTCCCAGAATAGTATTGGGAGTTATTTAGGCCCTACACTACTTTCCCTTGCGTGCTACTCCAGGGCAAGCCCCTGGCCCCATGTCCTAGAACCCAGAGACTCCAATATACCATAGTCAAGGAATATTCGTTAAATCATATTATTATGAAAACGTTATAATCCAGGCAGAAGGGCTTATGCAGACGAACCTGCGCCGACGGCCATGAATCACTCGCGGTTGAACTCTTTTTTACTCCAAAAGACCTTCGAAGCTGTGAATGCATTGTCTTGCTTTCTTGACGATTGTACATCTTTACACGTCGCAACTTCAGTCTTTGAGCACTGGGCTTCAGTACACAAACATGTTCAAGGTTTCTTATGCATTCGGCCGACCACAGAGCATGGAATGCAAGTTCTGCACTCCTCCTTGATGTTATCGCCAGATTAACATCACTCAGTATATGCGTCGGCCTCCATTCTCTACACAGCATCTGCACAACGTCACTTGCTGGACCGATCCGGCATTTCTAAGTCCCCAACACTCACGGAAAACATGCAAGTGATCTCGGCCGGGAACTTGATAGAACGGTCCTGCCACTACTTCTCGTTGTACCGGCGGTGTAGGAAGAACTCTTTGAAAGGCTGGCTCAATGTTGGCCTGCACTCCCTGTTCACGAGTTGTAGGTTCCATAGTCCTTGCAGGTGGTTTGGGCTGCTTGTTGCTCGCTCTTGTAGTAGATGACGAAGCGGGCTCCCCAAGGACGGTATCAGGGTAGATTGGCTCAGGGAACCGTGGAATCGGAGAGGTTCCCTCTGGCATAGTATTTGAAAAACGTTCCTTGAGCTCCACCAATCGAACTTTCTGCTGTTGGTCCAGATCACCGGGGTCCAAGGATAGAAGCCGCTGTAGCTCCTTCAGCTCGGCTTTTGTAAGCTGCTTTTTGCTAGCTCTGGTTGCCTTTGCCTTGAGCGCTTTCAAACGGACCTCTCTTTTCCTCAAACATCCCTTGAATCCTTCCCACAAACCAATCACCGCAATCGCGAGCACCAAAACCACGAGGTACAAGTCCCATGGTATCTCACTTTCTATTCCGGGCTTCTCTGCAACGGTCCCACAAACTTGACAAAGAAGTAGGAGACGCTGTAGCCATGTAGGATCCACCTGAGCCCGTCTTTGATGGGACTCCGTAGTCGCTCTCCGATCAACAATGGACCACATAGCAACCAGCTGCCTCAGTCTTTCCCGGGTAAAAGGTTTGGTCCCCAAATCTGCTCGTTGGCTGTCGCCCGGTTCATGTCGCACTCGAATTTCAGCTGAAGAAACTTTTTCTTTCAACCAATTTGATCTCAACTTCAAGTGGCGAGTGCGCCAGCTTCCGGAGGATGTTGTAAGTAATGAGCAAGCCGCCATATTGTCCACGTGGAGGTAGAGAGGGATTGTCCTTGCTGTCAGTTCTTCCAACAGTCCTCGGCATGATATTCCGAGGGTTGCCCCGTCAATGGATTCAATCAACTCTGACTCTGCCGTTGACATAGTCATCAAGGCCTGCCTTGAGCTCCTCCATGTAATCGGGGATTCTCCGTAAAAAACTGCCGCACATCCATGTGAACGACCCGCACTCGGAGCGAAGGATGAATCTGTATAAACCCGGAGTTCCGGTTGGGCAGTTTCCACAAACGATAATCTGTAGTGATGCGTTTCGCAGAAGTAGTCCAGCAGCCTTTCTCCTATACGGATCACTATTTCTGGGCTTCGTGTTGCTCGGCTCGCCATAACCGCCGTTGCATACTGGATGTCAGGCCTTGTGCGGCCCGACAACCAAAGCATCTCTCCAACCTTCTTCTGGGCTAGCTTCACCAGCTCCTCCTGGCCGGGCTGAGAATCGAGTTCGCCCTTAATCAAAGCTTCCTCCTCTTCAACCGAAAGAAGCAGAGTTTCTCTTGAGCCTTGCGACTTTGATCTTGAACCATCATGGCGGTAGGCCCTCAGCAGCTCTGAAATAAATCCTTCTTGGGAAACTTCCACTCCTCCTGGGACGCTGTGTAGCTCCATGCCCAAGAAGCGGATGGAATGTTCAGGGGAAAGAACGTCAAGATCATCACATTCCCACTTGGCAGCCACCCATGAAAAGAAAGTCTGCATGATATTCTCTGGAGCTTGAATCAACAGATCATCAATGTACACCAACAGATATCCCAGGGGTTCTGTGTCAGAGTTCTCCTTCACAATCTTCCAAATCTGGTTGTCCGTTATCATTTGCTCAAGCTTCAGCGTGACTTCCTCTCCATCCACAATGGCATTCCATCGCGCAGCTTTAAGCTCGTTGTCCCTATGCTGAGACCAAAGGGCTGGCGACTCCCGCAATCCATATATGGCCTGCTCCACAAACCACATGTCGCCCGGCTCGGCAATTCCCAGCTCATAGGCGATTCCAGGCGGCTCCAAAGCCACAGGCTGTCCCTTCCACTTGGCTAGGACAAAGGCTTGCCTTATGTCGGTAGTTCCTATGCGCCATTTGCGGTTTGCATTGAACGCCAGCATCGTACGCAACGAAGTAGCATCTAGTCCAGCTGCGTAAAGATCAACTTCTGAACTCATCTCTGAAATGTGGTTCCCGCACGCAACAAACCTTGTTTTTCGCCGATATCCTTGAGGGCCTTTGTCTGGTTTTGTTGTGTAGACACCCTTACATGGAACAATCCGGCATCCACGAGGTAACTCACTCTTCTTCACGACCTTGAAAGCTCGCTTCACTTCAGTGAGGTTGTGGAACTCCTTGAGGGCTGAACTTCTCCATTTATCAAGGTTCTTCTTGACATCTCCCAAACTCACGGTGTGGGTTACATCCAGCTGCTTCCCTTGGCGCTCGCACTCCCTCAGAATCTCCTCAACATTCGGAGTATACTGTACTTCGGCCTTCCGGATCATCTTCTTCATGTTCACCGGGTGTTCACCATCGTAGCCGAACATCTCCGAGGTTTCTATTTCCTCAAACACTGCAGGCGGGAGCAACTCACTGTCCTTCGAAAGAGTTTTGACTTGAACCAACTCTTGATCCTCCTCCTCATCCGAAGAATTGCTGTCCCCTTTGATCAATGACTCCTTGTCAATGTTGAAGCCTGCCTCTTCCAGCTGCTCCACATGGGCTTCTGTGAGTCTCGTTGCCCTCGGGGTGTACATAAGCATCACCGTACGCGTACCTTCCCAAGGCTGAACTTGATGCCATAATCGAGGAGAAAAACTCATCACCTCACCCTCGGGGGCCTTGAGGATCTTGCCCTTGATCACTTTGCCGTTAGGCAAGATTTTTGTGGTTGATTCTCCGTCGCCCGCTGTATCATCTTGAACCCAAAGTTCGCCTCCTTCGAAACCACATAGGGGCATCACATAGTTCTTGGCCTTCGCATAGTTGTGAACATCACGATGAAGACCCAGCTGAGCATTCCTTGAAATTCCAACCGCCGAGAAGTGGGCCTCACCCACATAGTGCTTGGCCACGTTCACTAAGTACTTAGAAGTATTCGGGAAGTCCTTGAGGTTGGTTCTCACTCCCGCAACACCCCCATGAACAAAGGCACCCGTGTACCACGAAGTCACCCTGGTTTTCTTTGAAATCCTCCGATCACTGTCCCCAAGGGTTTCCAAGAGGTCGTAGAGCTGGGTCACTTCCTTCAACGCAAACTGCTTCTCATCATTGAGTTTTCTCGCACGAAACTCAATTTCAGCTCGAAGTTCTTGCCGTGTTGGTGGTCCTGGGGCTGCTAGTAGTTCATCAGGTAGGTCCTCTGCTATAGCGGGTGGTAATAGAGCGGGGAGGTCTCGATCAGGGTCTATCACGTTGAACTTGACACTCTTAGCCACAGTCAAGCCTCCATCTTCTCTCATAATCAAGTGGCCTCGCTTCACATCAACAGTTGGTCCACGATACCATCCTCTTTTCCACCTCGTTCCCGCTGCGTCGTGCTTCTTCTCGGCCTTCCCCTGGTAGGTCTTTGATCTGAACCATGCCTCATTGCCAAACGTAGTTGCCGGTCTCGCCGCCCACGGGCTATCTGGAAAGGCCTTGACCCATAAAGCAGCTGAAGCCTGTGCAATCGCCATTGGCCATTCCCGAGGGTGAGCTCCAGCACTTTTGATCAGTGCCCGAACCCGACTCTTGGCCCACTTGATCCCAAGCTCCGCCGTACTGTTGCCCGCTGGGTCGCCTCCTGCGGTTTTGGTACATCTAACACCCATATCCACCGCCCACTCCTTGAATGCTTTCGCCCGAAATTCTCGAGCGCGATCAGAGTGGATCTGAGAAATGTGAAGTCCACATTGTCTGCATTGCAGGTAGATCTCTTTGGTGGCATTCAGGACGTGCGTTGCCGTTCTCCGCCTTAACGGCCTTGTGATGTAGATCGTGATCGGTTCCTCAGGCTTCTCCAGCTCATGAACAGCATCTTCCAAAGTCTCGGGACCACAAAGTTTTCGGTCTTCACCGTCAGAACTGGGTTCGTCTTCGCCTCCAGGTAGTAGTTCTGGTTCCTCTTCCATAACATCATCGGCACTTTCCTCGGGGTCATCTGGAACATATAGTTCACGTTCCACCTCACCAAGGGCCTTCGCAGAGAGGTAATTCCTGGGGCACCTATAAGCTGCAACTAGTATGTACTTGTAATCCTCGTGGTCCATATCCCTCCCCGGCTGCTTGAAAGGTCCAGCAAGGTCTAGAGCCAAGGTGTACATTGAAGGATTAGACCTCCTTCGGTGCTGGTAGCCGGTGGCCTGCGCATTGATGCACACCGAACAATCAGCCCGATAAGGCTGATGATCATTGAGCAAGTGGTTGCGCCATTGATCTTCTTGCTCTTTCGTTAACTTCCCTATTTTCACGCCGTTGTCCTTCTCGGAGTAGAGGTTGGCAACTTTGTGGTAGTCACTCAAAATCGCCTTTACGACCAGGGCCTTGAAACCATTGGACCATGCATTCATCTCCTCCTGGCTCAACAAGGAAGGAGGAACACAACTTTGATCATAGTCATAGACCCCGTTGAGGTTGATCAAATCCTTGTAGTTCGTGGCGATAGATAACGGATTCTGGGAACGATGGCCGTAGGCTCCCATGTTGAACGAAGTCTTCTTCATACTGGTAATCGAACGGAAGGACCTCCACAGTTCACTTTCCCAGAACGATGCTCTTGGGGAATCTCCCGATCTTATTACCATCTCATCCGCAGGAAAACACATTGCAAAACCCACATCTCCCGGTCCTTTGATCATGGCCAACATCCAGATCAGCATCGGCTTCACACAGTCAGCCGTTTCCTTGTTCACACGAAGTTGCTGTAGAGGAGGCAAATCTGGTTGTCCATATGGTTCCCTTTGGGTTCGAAGATCATATAGGCCAGGATCACGATGGTTCTTTCGGGAGGTTGGCCAAGTGCTGTGCTGGGGCGCTGAGACCACATCCGAAATCTTCCCTTGAGAGGCTGCCCATAAAAGCATTCGATAAACTCCCTCTCTCTTACTCACATCCCACAGCTTGGAGTTCTTGAAGTCAATGTTCAGCAGGATTTTTCCTCCCTTGGCGATCATTTCAAAGGGGTCCGCTCCTCCCTTGTCCTCGCCACTGTTGAGGTTGACAACCCACTGATTATGCGCCATCAAGGCCCTTCTCTTCCTTCGAGTCAACGGAAGGTCTTTTAAGTAGCGCTCCCCAGAATTCACATCGAAACCCTCAATCAACATGGCCTTGACATCCTCAGGGAGGTCCTTGGTCACGGGACATGTGTGGATCACCTTGAAAAGGGTCGCCTGGCTTCCGGTGGCCGCATACTCCTTTAAGAGCTCATCCCAGGGCCTTTGCACCTCCTTCTTCATCACTTCCAAGCGCGCACTCAACGTTTCCACTTGGTCGTTGAGAAGCCTGATATGCTTGGCTTCCAGTTCCTGAATAAGGGCTAAAGCATCCTTCACTTGCAGCTCTGGGCAGTTGTTCACAAGGTTCACCTTCATCATTCCACGCTTCGGGTGGTAGAGCTGCAAAGAACCTTTCTTCCATCTCAAAGAACAGCCAAGGTCTTCTATGACAGGTCCAAGTGGCACTATCGGTTGTACCTGCTGTCCATCTTCGCTTTTAATCAACACCGTCCCCTGCAAGTTCTGTCGTAGAAGACGTACATCTTCCCCAGCTAAGGTGACAGATACAGGGTGGCCCTTCTGGTACTCCTCCTCCGTTGCCTCGCGCATTGCATGGCTAGCTCCACTGTCCAACAAACCATTCATGGTGGTACTCTTATCCACTACCGACGTCCTCAACGCCGCTTCCACCTGGTTCATCTTCTCTTGAAATCCCAACTCCAACACCGAAGCTTTTCTGATGTTCACGGCAGACATAGACTTCAACATCTTTCCCACATCGGCTAGCACTTCCTTTAAGTCGACCTGTGGTGCTCCCTCCGAAGCCGAAGACTCGGCTGTTGTCCTGGGGGGCACAGCTTCGACCTGAGGAACATCGTCAATGCGAACAGTCTTGCTTGTTGATGTAGACTGGGAAGTCGCCGGGGTTGGTGTAGCAGGTGGCTTCTGTGGCGCTGATTTCGGTGTTCCCGGTGTTTGCGTACCTGGCTTCTTGGTGTGACAGTCCTTCGTCAAGTGGCCTTTTCCACCGCAGGTCCAGCATCTGTTCTGCTTCTCCTTCTCATTTCCCTCCCACGAGTGTTTAAACGGACATTTTGTTCCTCTGGCACATCCTTTGTAGGTGAGGCCGTAGAACTTGCAGGGAACACTCGCCTTCGCCGCCCTCTCGGTGTCCTCTCCAGAACTTCGGTCTCCTGAGGGTGTTCTCGGTGGCGGCGGCGGAACGGGGATATTGTCCTTGTTGTCCGTCCTCATAGGCTTGATTTTCGGTTCTGGCTTTGGAGCGCCGGTTGCTGTAGGCTGCGGGGTAGTGGTGGAGGTTAACGTAGAGCTCGCAACTGCCATGGTTTCACATTCCGCCAACAAATGATGGTGGTACTTCTCCACTGAGTCGTAGGATGGCTTTGTGTCTACCAACAGCGTGCTACGAACCAAGCTTGTGCGGAAATTCACTTCCGTGTCCTTTTCCAGCACTTGTCTTGTTATTGTGGATAAACCTCTGACCAGCAAGCTTGGGTCAGGGGCGGTCACATTGAGCTCTCGACACCGACGAAGCCACCTTGCCCATGCCCTCAACGATGTCACAGCCTTCTGGGGGGTAACTGCTGCCTCTGGAGACTGCAAACTCTGAAGTATATGCACTCTTTCTTGCTGCCCACCCGGCTGGTAGAGCGTCATCAAACGGAATATCAAAGCACATGTTGATCCCGTAGACCTCCTCTGAACCATCTCTTGTCTGACCGACTCGTGCAAGGCGAGAAGCACCATCGAAGCTCCTCGGGAGTTCACTCTCCCCCACCTCCCCGACTCCAGCTCTTCCTCCTTTGGAGGTTGTATCACCAGTTTCTCAACCGGCGACGCACTGGCCCACCCATTGTAGGCTTCCGTTGCCGCTGCCCTCACCTTAGACCACCACTCTGCACTTCCATCCGAGAGGTCCTGCATGGGAGTCGTGATCACCTCCAGCCAGTCCATAATGTCCACGGAGCTCGTCTGAGGATTGACCTGAGGTAGAGGAGGAAGCGTTAGCGTGCCTGGTTTGACAGTCTCCGGGCTCGTAGGACTCGTTTTATCTCTTTCACTGTCGTGCACCATCTGCTTCAACATCACAGCTTGGAGCTGAGCCATACCCCCTGCTAAGAGAGCCATTGGGTCACTAGGGGCACTTCCACCTAGCCATTGCTGAGCCGATTGCCCAGCATCCGCTCCTCTTGAGGAAGCCGTTTGTGCTCTGCCTCCTGCAGCCTGATTGTTCTTGGTATCGGGCACCCCAGACTCTTGACCGCGTGCATGCTCATCGGTAGGACCAGACTCTTGACCGCGTGCATGCTCATCGGTAGGACCAGACTCTTGACCGCGTGCATGCTCATAAAAACGACCTTCGTGGGCAGACTGTTGTGGATTCCCTCGAGGTACTGTAGGTGCTTCTGGTACATTCCCGAGTCCTTCTCTTTGGTTTCCGACATCTCCTATTACAGGGCCTGGACCTTCATGGGCAGACTGTTGTGGATTCCCTGGAGGTACTGTAGGTGCCCGCGGTAGCGGAGCATGATCTCGATGACATACTTCAGGGCCTTGGTGAAGCTGCTGTTCTGGTAGAGCTCCTGGATGTCCTTCGTGGGCAGACTGTTGAGGATTCCCTTGAGGTACTGTAGGTGCTTGTGGTAGCTGAGCTCTGGGTGGTAGATTAGTCTCCGGGTACAGTTAAACCTCCTTGTCCTTCTGAAACCCTTGAAGCTCTACCCATCCAGTAGCTTCGCTCATTCCTCAGCTGTTCCACTTCACGAACCAGGTGTTGAACTTGCTCTTGGTGTCGAACAGTATACTCTTCTAGCTGACGTTGCACTTCAGCCTGAAGTCTTGAGGATCTTTCTGACTCCGGCTCTGACTGCTGAGCCCGGTGTCCATATATCCAAGGATGATCTCGCTGGGCTTGTCGCATCTGTTCCAGCTGCCTTTCATCGAACAGCGGAGGCTCCATTGGCCGAGCTGCCCACGACAGAGGAACAGGAGGAGGTAAAGCAGGACCGTGTCCAGGTAGCTCTTCAGGCGGCGAAACATTCAAAGGCGTACCTGTAGAGGCTCTTACCTGGATCTCCCTCATTGCTCGTTGTTGGGGCACCGATGGAATACGGAAACTCTCCAGCACACGATCCATACCCTCAACTCCACGATGCGCTGTAGTCCTCAAAAACTCCGACACTCGTGCAAACCATCTGACTCCATTCTGCTCTGGTCCCGACGACCCACTTTCTGCAGAATAAAACTCTTGCACTCTCATGGCTGAACTCGTAGGAGTCATTGGAGTTGTCATCTCTCTCACCGTCACAACGGGAGGTGCAGCTAAAACAACTTGTTCGTTTATAACGTTCGCGCTCGGGTCCGGTACTGCTTGATACGCCGGTTCCACCCGCTCCGGTTGCGTAGGCCTCTCACCAAACGTCATAGTCGTTCCAGCTTGCAGATCACCAGCGGTGGGTGCGGGATCAAGTAGATTTGGATTTTCCAAAAGCTGCTGTCCACTTTGCCCCATCACACCAGCATCCATTTGTGCAGGAACTCTTACAACACCATTTGGCAAAGTGCCGTAGACTGCTGCTCCATCTCCTTGCAAACGGGTTCTCGCGGAGCCGCCCTCTGGTGCTTGGGCGCTCATAACCTGAAAACGTTATAATCCAGGCAGAAGGGCTTATGCAGACGAACCTGCGCCGACGGCCATGAATCACTCGCGGTTGAACTCTTTTTTACTCCAAAAGACCTTCGAAGCTGTGAATGCATTGTCTTGCTTTCTTGACGATTGTACATCTTTACACGTCGCAACTTCAGTCTTTGAGCACTGGGCTTCAGTACACAAACATGTTCAAGGTTTCTTATGCATTCGGCCGACCACAGAGCATGGAATGCAAGTTCTGCATATTAATAGGGGTCCTATTAGAATTGAAGGTATATTCCTTAGTTGAGGGATATTGGAGTCTCTGAGCAGAGACTCCAATATCCCTCAACTAAGGAATATACCTTATATCGTAGGATCCCTAATATGATCCAATCAATATTCCTTAATTAAGGGATGTTGGAGTTTCTGGGAATCCTGTCGTTGAAAACCTTGAACCCTAAACCCTAAACCCCTAAACTCCTAAACCCAAAACCCCTAAATCCTAAACCCCTAAACCCTAAACCCCTAAACCCCTAAAACTTAAACCCCGAACTAGACGCTACGCCCCAAAGCCCAATAAACCTCAGGCCCTAAGCCCCAAAGCCCAGACCCCCGTCTCTGCTTTTGAGCGCCCGAGGATCCTTCAGCCGAAGTTGTGGAGCCAAGATTCAGCCCTATTCGGCTTTGCCTTCCGTAGCTTGGGTAGAATAACCTAGAGGGTCCAAGTACTCCCTATTTTAGGAATTTAGGGCCTTATTAGGTACCAAGAACCATAAATAGGGACTACTTGCACCCTTAGGGTAAGAGTTTAAGGGTTCAGCGAATAGGGTTTAGCGTGTAGGGTTGTAGGGTTGGGGTTTAAGGTTTTGGGGCTGCAGGGCTTGTGGTTTAGGGGTTTAGCGTGGTGCGTTTAAGGAGGTTAAGGTTCAGAGTTTAGTTTGGGGTCTAGGAGTTGCGTTTAGGTCGGGAGTTCAGGGTTCAGGGCTTATACCAAACCCTTACCATTATAGTAGAAGCCAGAAAGTTGGAACATCAGACTCCTCATGCCCTTAAGGTAAAGTATAAGGGATCCTAGCACTAATCCTCCTAAAGCCATGTTCCAACTTTCTGGCTTCTACTGTAGTCTTGGGCCGTAGGTTTTAGTAGTAGGATAAGTACTGTGAATCGCAGTCTTTTGGTACGGTTCCACCACCCATACTGGTGTTGTTGTCATTACAGTGTCATCGTCATTGTGGTTGTTGTTGTTGTCGTCTGCTGCTGTTGTTGCTGTTCTATTTCTCTAGATTGGCGCTGCCTTCCGAAGCTCGGGTTGTCGCCGTCACTATGTTTACGAGTTGCCAGTTTCACGGCCATCGTTCTCGACTGCAGCTGTTACCATCAGTACTTTTGGGACTGATATTGCTTTATCATGATGCTGATGTTGACGACGATGATGGTGATCAGTAGTGTCATACGGTTCTCCTTCTCCAGCTTCTTATTTTTGTAAGTTTGTCACTCCAGCTTCTTCTCATTGCAGGTTTGTCGTTCACAGCATGAGCACTCTACTGCCTTTTTATGCTTGAAGTTCTGCTCCACAAAGGGTACTGCGTCGTTGTTCTGGCTGCTATTGCTGGTATCATGATCGTGGGAGTTGGGGTCAAGGGTTTTATACAAGGATTTGGTGTCAGGTTCAGGGGAAGGTAAAGTGGGATGGATCATGGAACCCAACAGCTCACGGAGGTACAGGTGCTGTCCGTTAGGGATTCCTCTCCATTCCAGGCTGCTGTGGGGCTGTAGGGAAGTTATGGATCTGAGCTCAAATACCCGAACTTTCAAGCAGTACCGTGCGTTATGCAGCAGGCTTGAGTTTGGGATTTCAGGCACAAGCGTAGACTTTGGGAAGCTTGCAGACAATGGCACAAAGCCGAACCCTCAACCCAAAAAACCCTAAAACTTCAACACGCGAGGAATTTGTGCATGACCTTGGGTGCCTCTTTCATCGCGAGCACCTTCTCCGCCGCGGGACTGTTTGCTCTGAGTATATCAGAGAAGGGGCGTCTCGGCAGAGTTAATCATAAAATGACCATGGTTCCATCATGATATTTCTATTCGTAATCAAAGTCGTAAAAACCGTGATAACCGATAACAAGTAAGAAATGGTAAACCACAACTACTAGCTCTAATTGTATACGTATTATTGATTACCAGGTACTTAATTAATAATCAACAATCAGTGCTACTCTCACAACAGTCGGCCACTTAGCATGCTGCTGAACAGACAGAGTTCAGAAAGCTGAGAGGTGAAGGCGTTGATGTATAAGTCGGAATGATTACCAGTAGTATCTTCTCATAGTTCCCTATCTATAATATACACCGACACCCCATTGATACTTTTAAAGCCCTAATTTCCTAATGATAAATGCTCTACGTCAGCAGTGTTCGATTCGCGAACTGTTAGTCTACTGGTTTGAGGTTAAGCCATAAACCCTAAACCCTAGGATTTAGGGCTTTGTCGTCTCATGGACCTGAACCCTACAACATCCAAAATCCAACCCCCCTGAAACCAACAATCAGTGCCAGTGCCCGCTTTGGGCATTTTCGGCTCTGGCAGTTCTCCGGCTTGGAGGATCATGGGACTTAGTCAGTAGGGTTATAAGTACCTTAATTGGGATTATAAGCAATGAGAAGCTGTAGTTACCTTACTTATAGCCACAAGTACGAAGTCCCATGATCCTTTAAGTGCTTCCCGGCGTCGGCGTTGAGTCTTTGCGCTTCCCAGGTTTCTGATGGAGCCCAAGACTCGCTCGATGGTGCTGCTGACGAGGCTAGTGGGCTGGATGATCTTGTATTACTTTCCTGTGCACCTGGGCTGCATTTCTATCATTTACATTCAGTTTTGGGTCTAGTCCAAAGTCTGAGGATGCGGGTCTACAAACGGTTGTCCGGGGCATTAACTTTCGATTCTGATTGGAAGTTCGTCGGCCACTGAGGTATCTCATAGCCACGAGCAACATCCGCGGTTTCTACATGTATGGCACTGCCCCCTCGGACAACAGCCTGGTGTGCCTTGTCTTTACAAGACAACGAACGAGTCTTCATGCTGTGTGATCTGGTTACTGTATGGGTAGTTGTCAACATTATGGTCCCTAATTGGGTACCCTAAATATATAGTGCCGCATTGTAATAGGGACCCCAAAAGGGACCGTAATTTTGACAACCACCCGTATCAGTGGAGGATGCGTACTTAAATCCTCAAAGCATCTCAGACTTGAGCACCCTCGAAACTGTGTTCCACCGCCTACTGCAGCCACCCGATCGGAGAACCTGACGCGAAGGACACGAGTTTCGCGTTTTAGGGCCTCATGGGGGCTCATCAAACAACGGTTCTCTATATAGGGTTTAGGGTTCAGGGTAGCCTTGAGTACTGAGTATATAGTGCCCTTCCTCAGCGCTCCTTGCAGAAGGACTGTACTAAAAGATGCCGATGCCCAATCCCCGTTTTGAGTGTTGAGCTCTCTCTATTACAGGTAGTGATGGAATTTCAGAAGGATGCTGCTTTCGGCTGAGTCTTTGGGTGGTGGTATGAGTGGGTGAAGGTTTCTGGGATTGAAGTTGAGGATTTACTAAAACAGGGTTCTGCACTGCCTGTTCCACAAAGCGTGCTGGGCCCTTCCTGGGTACTGACTGTTTTCCAGCCGCCTGGGATGCCATCTACCCTACACATTCGGCCCCCTACCCTAAACCCCAAAAGCCTACTGTAGGGGCCTAAATAATTACCAATACTTTTGAATTACATGGACCCCAAAACCTTTCCTAGTTATTAAGGCCCCTATACTACAAGCCCTTAACCAGGTGTCTGGGTACAAGTCTCAGCCCATCCGCCGTGGCCGATTTCGCGGACACGCAGCGCATCAATCAGACTCGTGCGGTGATCGGGATGCTCGGCGGCTTCTGTAAGGGTTCTACTATAGGGGCTTTCTAATAACTAAGTATCTATATTATTTTGGGGGGTTCCTTGTTGTAATCATGGCATAATGGGCCTTGAGGGTTCTATAAGAGTCCCGAGGCTTTCGATAAGCCTTCCAAAGATGTGCTCTCCCTGTGTTTCCCTCCTGGTCGCTTGATGGTGGTCTCTTGTTGGTTTCGGTCCTCTTCCTGGTGATGCTTTGCTGGTTTTCCTGCTGGTCTCCTGTTGTCTCTTGGTGTTGGTTTCCTGTTGGTCTCTTGGTAGTCTCCCAAAGCATGGTCTGCTGGTCGTCTCCTGGTCGAAGCGCTCGTTTCCGTCCTCTGGTAATTTCGTGGACCCAGGTTGGGAGCGCACTGAGTCATTTGCAACAATCTGCGTGCATTGCCTGTACCCGAATACCCCGAAACCCTAATTCCAAGGTTACAGTATTATGCGGGCTTTGGATTTGGGATGCGGATTGGGCGGGTTTGCCTTGTGGTTCATGCTCTTTGACTCTCACGGTTTTGAGGTCCTCTTGAAAGCATTGCACCATGTCGGTTTAAACTTAGGATTTCGGTTTCAGAGTTTACGGGCCATTGCACCCTAAACCCGAAGCCTAAATCCACATAGAGGCCTTACAGAAGCTTTGTAGATCAAGTTAGAGTATTAAAGAATCTAAAGCCCTAAGAACCCAAACCATAAAGGCAAGGTAAGGCAAGGTAAGGTGTGACCAAACATAAAGCCCAGAGACTCCAATATCCTTTAATTAAGGAAGATACCTTAAGTTATAGTAGGATCCCTAATATGATAAAATTATAGTAGGATCCCTAATATGATTTAAGGAATATTCCTTAATTAAGGGATGTTGGAGCCTCTGGGGAGCCTCCAGGATCCTGATCCAGCATGGGCTCCAGCTCGCAATCATCGTCTTTGTGATCTGTGTGCCTGGGACAAGAAAGGCTAACACAAAACCTTCAGCCCCAACTCCAAACCCTGAGGGGTTGTCTAATTTTTTTGTAGCTTTGAAACAAGGGCTTTCGTTTTTATTTGCAGCCATTGAAACAATGATTTTTGTATC